CGTGAGCGATGGTCCCTCGGCCGGCTGGAGCCTTCCCTGGGGACAGAGAGGCTGCAGGTGCTCGGAATGAGCAGAGACCACGAGGCATTCCTGGGGGCAGCAGTGGGATGGAAGAGATTGTGAGGGATTCTAGGAATTAGGATTGGGGTATCATCTTTCCTAGCACAGCAGCCACCTCAGGCTGTGTGTCCTGAGCCCATGTCCTACTCTGATGTCTCAGAAAAAGGGTCGGGAAAGAGAAGGGGGAGCAGCAGAAAGCCCAGCTCAGCAATTCAGAGCTGACCCACGGAGCAGAAGGGCGCCCAGCTTGGCCCCTTCCCGTGGTGAGCCCAGACAGCTGGGGCTTGGCTCCTTCCCAGCACTTGCACTGGGCTGGGCTGGGTGCATTTGGAAGCATTTCCAGCATTTCCTGAATGACCCGGCAGTGAGCAGGGCCAGGCGAGCCGGGGTCACGGCGAGTGATGCTCAGCAGGGTGGTGCAGACACCACTTTAAACAAATATCACTGGGAAAGCAACTGGATTTGAAAGTGCCAGGCTGAAATTTGGGGGCCAAGAGCAGCAATGGGGAGCTTTGAAGGCTCATTGCTGGGGAAAACACAGAGGCTGTGAAGGGGGGACCCTGTGCCCTTAGTGCATCCCACTGGGCAGCTCCAGGGCACAGTCCTGCAGGGGTGAATCTGTGCTGGGGAGCACTGACCCTGGGCAGGGAGCACTGGGGTTGTGTTTCTGGGGGAAAGACAGGATGTTTTCCCTGGAAATCCCAGCTCCCAGCTGCTTCAGCACTCCAGGCAGGGACAGGCTCCATGAGCCCCAGTTTTATCTGCTGCCTCCCTTGGCTTCAAAGGAGACACTTTGAGCCACCAAGGCTGGGATAAAGGCCCTCTCTGCAGGATGAAATAGTTTTGGAAGCATGGAATATCTTCACCTGCTGGGATAAATCTTTCCTTTCAGGAATATTTCTTTTAGCATCAGCGCCTCTCAAGTTCACTTGCCGATTGCTCACTGTCACATTAACCTTTCGACTCAATATATTAAAGACATGACAACTGTGAAATAAGTGGAACAAATAAATTATCTTTGCTGGGCAATAAGGAAAACTGGGGAAAAAGCAACTGAATCTTGTATCTGAATCTTTTGGGTGTGCCATGAAGCCTGGGAATCAAAATTAGATGAACCCACGTTGCAAGTGACGTGATGCAATCCCAATGCCCCAGTCCTCAGCAACATGGAAAGCTGTCAGACAAAGAGCCAAAAGCAAATACAAAATGCTGATGTTAATCATACAGATTGAAGGCTGATACTGCTATTGAGTGGAGCAGACAAACCTTATAAGCTTAGATATCTGTCAGGAGAGAAGCAAATAACTTACTGTATGAAACGAGGCCTTTTAGGGAAGGCTGCTCAACCTTGCCAAGGCCATGGGGATAATGAAAATAGGACAGCTAAATTTAACAGCAAAATGACTTGTAAAAGAGTCACTTCTAACCTCCCCTCTGGTACTTGGAGTTAATAAAGTGGTTATAGCATGGATTTAGCTAAAATACTTTCCATTGGGGGATAATATGCATCTGCCATTTTGTAATCTCTTGGAGCCATGTTGCAGCTGGTGAGTGGGGCTGGAGCCTGTCTGAAGTGATGTGGAGAGCAGAAGACCCCAGCCTGGAGCACCAACAGAACCTGAATCTTTTCCTGGGCTGATACCAGCACCCAGCATGGCCACAGCATCCAAATGTTTGAAAAAAATAGAGCCTAAACACTTGGAGGCTCACACCTCTACCACACCCAGGCCATCCCTGGGATTGCCACTCCTTAAATTACTTTATCACAGGGAATGTAGTCAGTTTGCACTGTAGTCAGTTTGCACAGGCACTGCTCACCTGTGTGGCCCTGCAGTGGTGCCATGGTGGCGCTGGGTGGCTGCCAACACCCCTCCCTGCCCCTGCCAGGTGGTTATCGAGGGACAGTGCCCAGCTTGGGCTGCTCACCTGCCCACACAGGACAGTCACTGGCCAGAGATGCTGAGATCAAGGGGCTGTGATGCTTCCAGCTGTGGTGCAGGAACTGGGCTGTCCTGAGGCCAGGTTGGGATGTCTGTTTGCTGTGATAATAACTGCATTACTGTGACACCCAATTGAAAAATAAAAATAGATTTAAGAAGAAGAGGTTTTTATCAGCCTACCTGAGGGGTGTCCCACGACCCTGTGCACCAATACCCACATGTAGCTGGGACTTTAGGGATGGTTTTATCTTGGGTTCTCACAGGCACCAGCTGGTATGGTGCTGTCAATACACTCACAGCCATCTCCTCTGAAAAACTTTTGTATCTCTTGGCCACTTCCAAGCAGAGCAGGCAGGAGGCACTGGGGGTGCTCTGCCCGGAGTGATGAGCTGTGGGTGCTGCTGGATGGGCAGTGGCAGCTTGAGTTCATCTGCAGAAGTCCTGGGCACTGAGGATGGGCTTGCCAAGGACACAGAAACTGCTGAAATGGACTTGACTTGAGCAGCATGGAAAGAAAGGACCAAATGGGACAACACAGAGACACAGAGAGTAGAGCTGGAAGTGTTTGAGGCCAGGTTGGATGAGACCTTGGGCAACCTGGTCTAGTGGAAGGTGTCCCTGACCATGGGAGGGGGCTTGAATGAGATGATCTGTAAGGCCTCTTCCAACCCAAACCATTCTGTGATTCTAAGACTCTAAAACCAGGGAGAAATAAGGAAAATGAGCCCATCTAGCTCCACTGCCCACACGAGGGGAAAATGGAAGCAAAACAGCAAATGAGGCTCTAAAGCTCCTGTGTTTGTGTCTGAGATTGCAAAGACCTAGGGCCAGATTTCCCAAACACTCTCCTGGGTCAGCTGCCATTGACTGGTCCCCAGTGCCAGGCTTTGGCCTTATCCAGCATCTCCAGCTCCAGCTGGGCCAGATGCCAAGGGCATTGAGGGCTGGTGACCCTCCAAGGGTATCCCTGGCAGTGTTATGCAGGGTTAGCACAGGAGTCCATCCATGGCTGTGAAAGGAACTCCTTCCCCCTGCCCATTGAACATTATTAGCTTGTGCTTGGGGCTAAGAGAAAAATGAAAAATCTGTATTTTTAAGGAAAACATTTGGAAATGCAAGTTCATCCTTGCTTTGAGCTGGGGCAGGAACTGCTGGAGCACAAAGAGGGTTCTGAAAACCTCTGCATGGGGCTCAAGCCCACCCACACCCAAGGAAGCACCCCTATGGAAGGCACAAAACTACCAGGTATTTCCAGGCTCTCAGACACTGATGGGGGGAAAAGAAAATATAAAAATAATAGATGAAGCTCATTACACAACCCAGACTCATGCTTGGCAGCATCCAGCACCGAGCTCTGAATTTCAGCACAAAAATGCGCGGCACGCTGCAGATCTATGGACGGGGAGGAGTAACACAGAGGCAAGATTTAAAATATGATGGTGGGTGCAGAGGGGACCTCTGTGGTCAAGGTTGCCAAGAAGAGCCCCTGAGAGCTGCTGGCTTTTCCCAGTAATTTTGGCTGCCACAGCCCCCTTGCCCTCACCAGTTGCAGGAGGTGCTTACACTGCACCACTGGCAATGGGGAGGGTGGAAAAAAAAATTGGCAGATGGGAGCAAACAAGGCCCTACAAAACAGCATGTTCAGTTTTCTTTCCAATTTTAACTTGTCCTTGACCTCTCTTCGCTCCTTCCCAGCAGGGCTGGCTTGGCTCTGTATTTGTCCCGTGCTGCAACGCCCTGGCACATGATGTTTTTGGTGGTACTCACCCCTCAGAAGTGGCATTTCCGTCCCCAGTTGCTGTGACAACACATCTCCCTGGAAATACTTTCTAGCTGATGCCAAAGCACACATGAACCTGAGGTGCTGGGGGTACCAAAAGGTGTCAGTGGCCCTGTGGCCATTGTGGCCTCCAGAAATGTGGATGCACATCCAATGTGGGGGCTGGACCTGTGCCATGGGATACAGGGACCCTTTTTGGTAGGGTAACACCTGTTTCCTGAATCATGCCTTCAAAAGACAAGCACAGCCCCAGGTGATGGTACCAGGTGTCCAGGGACTGACACAACATCAGGTGGGGAATTTGGGGTGGTTCTGCCTTCATCACTGTGTCGTGAGACAGCATTTTTGGTATGCTGGGCTGGCTTGAGGGTCACCTCCACTCCAGCCATGACATTGGTGCTCCTCCTGCTCTGACATTAGTCTGCACCAGCAAAGAGGAGGCCAAGCAATGGCCCTTTCCCAAAACCAGCATGTGCCAGGCTACCCCATGTCCCTCTCTGTAACCCACCATGGGTTACAAAGCTTTTGGTTTACCTTGTGCACCACCTTTGTCCTGCTCACAGCATTGGGAAGGAATATACAGGGCCATATCCCAGCAAAAAAGCACCAAGGGTAGATGTTGCCATGAACACAGATTTGCTCCAAAACAGGACCTGCAGCTGGATCAGGATTTTCTGCTTCAAATATGACCATGGGCAGAGCTCCGGGTGATGCAGAGATGGAAACGCATGGCCCCAAGCCCTATGCCATCCCCCAAGAGGAGGCCAAGTTATTTAATTATTATTTATTTCACAATTATTTCTTGTGGAGGTTATTGCAGGACTTATTTAAACCTCCTCTCCCAGCTGGGGGAGATAAGGTGATGACTATTCTGGATACAGTCAAAATTAGCACTGTTATTTGTATTCTCGTGCCCCAAGAGTGAATTTAAAAATTCCCAACAGTCGTATTATGCCACTCCACTCATTTTGCCTTTGTCATCCCATGCCAGGCACAAGCTCAGCTCCATTTCTAGTTTGGCTCCTCTGAAAACCCACAAGAAATCCTGATCTGGTGAGCACAACTCCTTTTACGGCTGAAGAATGTCCTCAGGCACTCCCATATGGCTCCATGGGCTCCCAAATGTCCCCCAAATCAGCCACAAATGGGACAAGAAAGACAAAAAAAAAAAACCCAAAACAAAGGTAAAACAATAACAACAAAATAGACAGAAAACCTTCCAGAGTCATCCAGTAAAATTGCTTTTATTTCTGTAATTTTCTAAGTATAAAACAAATCAGCCCAATATTGTGTGAACAGAGTGGATTGTATGGATGTGACCACAAGGAGCCTTCCCACGTCTTCCCGGCACACCTGGCTATTTACAGTCAGACAAAGGACACGGTTTAGGAAGTGGTAATTTAGTGGAAAAATATCTCTCATATAATAAAATAGGAAACCTCATTTCTTTCAGTTCTACCCCTCAGATAACAACCATCCCACCCCCCAAGATATAACAATTTACCATTTGCTATGAAGCACAATCTCAGAGATTTCTATATTTTGCTGTTCAGGCATCTCATATAAAAAAAATCAGCATATTCCCAGGCTGAAGCCACTGAGGGTACCACTGGCAGTTCAGTGGTCGCCCTCCTCTTGGTCCCAAATGCCCATCACTCCAGGCACACACAGATTTTGGCTCATTTAATGCCCCACTCACACCAAAAGCTGAATGGCACCACAAGAACAGGTCCAGGGAGCAGAGTTTACCCTGTGTCTCCTCTTCACTGCAGCCCTGCAAATCCTAACCCCAGCTGTGCCACACAAGATCTGCATGGGGCAAAGCCCTCTCCTTGGTTGGTACCAAAAACCTGAGTGTCAGGCTGTCTCCCCTGACAGAAAATGCCACTGCAGAAGTGGGAGGAGAAAGAGCCCAGATGGGACTGAATCTCTGGCATCATTTATACAAAGTGATGGCCATGCCAGGTATGGTCCAAAAATCACAGTAAGTTTTAGGAGTTGGTAGTGGGGACTCTGGTGTGTTTGAGTTTCAGGAGTGATGAAATGCCAAGGTCACTGAGCCTCGTGAACATCTCCCAGCTAGGACCCCTGCACAGCTCAAACCATTATTCAATGAGTTTTGCTGGAGCAGAACCCTGACTGGAAAGCAGTATTATCAACCTGATGTACAAAAGAAGGTCCAAAAATTAATGCTGACTTTTCCTCCTGTTCCTCCTTCTGCCTTCCACACCGTGAGCAGAAACTCCCACTCAACTCCAGATTTGATGCTCCTACAGAGTGAAGTCCCCCAGCCCCTCCATAGAGCCTGTCCCTCCTCCTGCCCTCCTGCCTTCTCCAGTGCCTGGTGGAGCCATCCAGCCTTGGCTGAGCAGAGCATCACCAGAAACACACACACACAGAATGTTCACAGTGCCAAAACCCCAAACACACAAACACAAACCTCATCCAGACCTGTGCCACACAACACAAATAAAACGCAGGATGCAGCACTCTGCTCTTTTTCTTTTTCCAACCTGCCTCCCCATGGGATCACACACCACAGGGGGAAGAGCTCAGCCAGCAACTGGTCACAATGACACAATATCCCAAAACAGTACAAGGACTTTCCACAGCTGATCCCACTGGTGTTTACCCCAGGAACACAGGAGCTTCCCCTCCCACCTTGGCTGTACCCCAGCATGGTGTTTGGCCCCTGAGGAAGGAGTATAAAGTGCTCATGGATAATCCCATGCTGCCATCCAGCACGTCCTACGCCCTGCATCTTGTGGAGGATCTGTCACAGCAGCCCACCAATGCTAAGGTCTTGCTGGAAAGACCTGAGTTTTATTTATAGACTTAGAATATGCCAGGCAGCACCATCAAAATAAAACTAAAAAGGAAATAATTCCTAACCTCTGTTGCCAAGAAAAGCAAGGATCCCAGAGGTTTGCCCCTAAGCTGCTTTTTAAAAAAAAGCTTTAGGACAAAACATCCACCCAGTGTCCATCTCCCTTGTATTGCACAGTCACATGTCTTGGTAAGACACAAGAGCCTATCCCAAAGTGATGGTCTTGGCTCTGGGATCTCCAAGTTTACATAAGAACATGTTCCAGCCTGTAAAAGCTCCCAGCATGCTGCTGCTGGCACACGTGCAATAAATAACTACTCTGTTATTTATCCTGACCTTTCACTGAAGAATAAAGGTAAAAATACTTACATCTATGGATATTTTTCTACCTCATTAAGATGTTTGAAGTATAAGCCCCCGTAATCAAAAGGATGGAGTGAAACCTGTACTCCAAGTAATTAAAGGATGGCAGGAGAGACAAGATATGTGGTCAAGCATGCAAAAGGAGAAATGGGAACGTGTCAAAATGGTCCCTCCTAGCAAGGGGGCCACCTGCTCCAGGCAGCTCTAGTGCAGATTACCTGGGCTATTTTCTAGATAGATCTGAAGGCTCACAATAGAAATAAAATGCAATTTGCTGCTGCTGGAAAGAACAAGCTGGGACACAGCTCTGGTTTCTTGCCTAGGATGGATCAGGGTTTGGTAACTCACAATTGTGACCCAATGATTGCATGGACAGACTGACACTGCCTGGGCTTTTACACAAGAAACTTCTCCACACCACACATATTTGGGTTAAATTAATAATCCTCCACCAGACATTGAGTCCAGGGGAAAACAGTGTAACTCAGGTGGTGGATGGACCAAGCAGGTTCCTGTAGGCACAAGGGACTAAGGCCACCAGGTGCCAGGGAGATGCCATTGGGCAGCTGAAGGCCCTGCTGGACCCTCCAAACAGGGCTGGGATACTCTGAACCCAGCCCAGCTTCTCCCAGACTGGCTTTAAGCCTCATAGAAACAAAGAAGCTGCTTCCTCCGATTACACTGAGCTGGAACTGGACTAAATTCCTACTGGTTGTTTTCTGCACAGAGCAATGGAGATGGACTCAATCATCTTGGATGTCTTTCCCAACTTCAACAATTCTTTAGTTCTGTGACCTGTACTAAAATAAGGTGAAATCCACCCTTTTGAGGAAGGGCAAATCACATGTCTACAGCGTTGGTCTTACTGAAGCCTTATTTTGAAAGGCTTATACAGTACCTGGGTCATGTCCTGGTCCTCTACACCAGGGTGGGCCTCATCCATGGTGAAAATCTTTGAAGAGGAATTAGTTATCCCGTGGGATCAACTGATTAAATCATTTAGACAGAACACATTTGAAAAATAAAACTTCTTCAAGACCAAGTATAATAAGATTTAAAAAAATCAGCAACAATCTTCTAACCACAGAGTATCTATAAAGATCTTTTTAAAGAGCTCCATATTAAAATTCCTTGAATACATTATATATTAAATACAGTAACAACATTTCATGCAAGGTTTTCTGTACAATAAATCAGCTCAGTAGTATAACAATTCTGTACATTCCCATTGGTCTGGGGGCTCTGCTCATCTTCAATGCTGGTGATGGAGAAAAGAAAGGAAGCATGATATTTGGCACCTATTGTATGGAAGGAGAGATACTCTTGCCCAGATGATACAGAAAAACACTGGAAGCTTTTAAGAGGCAAAAAGTAGAAGAGAAAACCCAACAGCAAAGGAGCAAATGCTATCCCAGACCCTGGCTCTAGTGCTGTTGCTGGAATGTAAGAGAAAGGAAAGATACAGGCTCTGGCTAACTAAATATCATCAGGATGGATCCTAGAGGACTGTGAGGAAAACAGGAGGGAGGATTTGGAGAGCTGGAGAAGAAACCAACCACTATCAGCTTCTCAGCTGACACAGCTCAATGGAAAGAGATAAATTTAATGGATCCCAAAATCCACTCCTGATCTACAAACCCTCACTGAAGACTGTCTCACTCCTTCTGGGTAAAAATCCCCAGAGGGCAAGATAAAGCTGGTGCCTTACAAAAAGGGATGCCACAACAAACACCACTCATGGAGAAAGACCACGTTATGTACAAGCATACATTCATTCCCATCTTGATCCCTTGGCAAGGATGCCCTGTGCAAGTCAGTGATGTTCTCCAGAGCAGAGCACATGAAGTCATGGATGTGCTCCTGAACACTTCAGCTCTACACCTGCTAGGGAAAGAGTTAAAAGTTCACTGAGGAAACAAAGTGTGACCTGGAAGGAGTGGTGGACATGAGGGATGCAAGGTGGGCATCCCCTTGCTTTCCTTTACATGGCTGCCCCTACAAGGAGGACTGCCTTATATAGTGCAGATGGGATCTAGCAAGATGCCAGCTGGAGAACAGACAAGACTTCATTGTGCTTTGGTGCTGGATGAGCCTGAGAAGGTGCTGGGCTTTCCATAATGCAGGGATCAAACAGTGATAAATAGGGAGAACTTCACCTTCTACCACATGCACCTGACCTTGATGTATAAACACACATCCATAAGATTCACACCAATGTTGGGCACACTTTAAAGCTATGCCCAGCTGCTGCAGCCACTGGAGCAGAGCACAGCAGCAGCAACACTGTGGACATCATCAAGGCTCAACAACCCAAACACACAGCCCCCTCTCCTCTCTCCCTGCCCTCACTCACTGCCAAGCCCTTCCTAGCCCTTCCTGCCTTGTGCATCCCATCCCACTGCAGGACGTGGCCTCAAATCCCAACTTCCTGCCTTAATCTCTCATGAAGGCCACCTTGCTTGTGCTCACTCAGCCAGGGTAAAAATCGGAAAGAGAGTCTCAAATTTGGCAAGAACAAATCCCAAGGAACCACGGTACAATGATTCAGATCCACACAGCTCCATCCCCAAACTCTGCGCCAGCTGTCCAGTAATTGCACTCATATGTACAGGAAAAAGAAAGCTACAGAACAGAACAAAATCAGTATTTTTTTTCTTGTCGACGATTCACCCGCATTTGTCTGGTAGTCGGACACATGCATGTCCTGCTGGCTTTGGCGGTGCTCAGCATGCAAGACTTCAGTCCGAGTTACAAGTTAGGGATCCTCTAGCTCGGAGTGTCGCCCTCGTGTCGTTCATTTCTTGTCCTCTTCTCCTGAAAGGAAAGGCAGGAATGAGAAGGAAAAGTATTGGTGAGGGCTCAAAAGCAAACCAGCTCCGTGTTTTTGTTACCAAGTGGCTGCTGCTGGGCTGATCCTGTCTGTACTGAGCTGGCCTGACTGCAGCTGTGGCAGCTCAGGCTGCGTGAGGAGGAGGATGCTGGACCTTGGGTGAGGAAGGTCTCTGCAAGAGTTAGGAAAAGGGGTGAGATGGAGCCATGTGGGAAGGTGAATAGGCAGGATCCATCCTGACTGCTCCTGATGAGGAAATATGAGGGAAAAGCAGTGGCTCAGAGAGGAGGAGGCTCACTGCATCTCCCACCCACCCCAGAGCCCCAGCCCTGCTGCAGCCAGACAGGGATACTGCTCCCTGGGCTGACACCACTTCACACACTACCCATGTACCTACACCCATAAACACCTCCAAAACAGTGAGCAAGGACCAACCTTCTCATCACAGCCACTGTCCAGGGCTGCCCTCCTGCCTTCTCCCTCCCTCCAGATGGATGGGGGTGGACATGGAAGGTAACAGGCAACACATGGCCTCTAGGAAAGTGATGGTATCCAGCTTAAACTCCATGTGAGCAGCCTCAAAATCCCTGCCAGAACTTGACTTACAGCAACTAGATCCCCCATTTTGAAGGAGTTGATAGAAGTGTCCCTGACCCCTGAGGCAGCATCTGCCCTCCAGCCTGGGGTAGCTTGGTCTGCCTAGAACAGATTTTTTTCCTTAAAAAAAACCCACTGAGAAGCAGCACTTGCTAAGGAGAGTTAGAAAAATCCCTTATCATGAATCTTTTGACTGTATTTCTCTATCTTTCATCACTGTACACATCACGAAATACATCTCACTGGGGACTGCTGTTCCTGTGCTCTTGATAAATAAGGGTCCTGCCCGGGGTTACCAGCGAGGCTCTGTGCCTGCTGCCAGCCCTGGTGCCGACAAGCTTTCAGGGGAATTAATAAATAACAGGCAAGAGAGAGGGAAAAGGCTTTTTTGCAACTTCTGCCAATTTTTTTTTCCAGTGCTGGCTGCAGAGCCCAGCCCTGTGTCCTGGGATAGAATGGTTTGCTGTGATGGCAGCATCCCTCTGGATGACACTGCGAGCTCTCGTGTAATGCAAGGATGCTGGCAACTGCACTGTATTAAATATCACTGCAATAATCAAAATTAATCTCCTCCCCACTGCAGCAGCATCTCTTCCCTCTCCTCCAGCAGCTGAACACTCCCCACTGGGTGACACACCAGTGGTAATTTGCCAGCCATGGCACTTCCCCTAAGCACATCACCCCATGGTTGTGTGAACAGACAGGAGGATGCCATGGCATGTGGCAGGCAGGGACAGGAAGGGGACATGGCTGCACTGTTTAATCACAGTGGATGCTCTTCAAAAAGTTGCTCTCAGGTCCCTACAGTAACACAATCCTGGCATGGAGTGAGTCAGGTGTTCCCATGAGCCCTGCAACCAGCCAAAGGTCCAGCTCCCACATATGCAGGTCCCTGCATGCCAGTGTCCATCTGTCCTTCCCTCACACTGGTGAGCAGGGGGGATGCAGGACATGTTTGCAGGGATGATGGGATGGTCAATTCCCTCTGGATGCTGCCTCACACCAGGGGTGTCACAGCCCTTCAGCACTTCCAAACCAGCAACTGAACAATGTCAGCTTAGCTCCTCCAAGGACACCTGAAGCTTTTGGGGAGGGTTTTCCTTACTGCTTTTGACTTTCCTCAACAGGTTCCTGTAAAAGGTGCTGCTGGAGGGATGCAGCTCCCACTGCCAGCCCAGATCACTTCCTTCACCAAGGGAAATGCTGCAGCCCTTGTAGCTCAGAAAAATGAACATTACCCCATCACACCAGGGCACCCTGAACTTCAACCCAGACTCTGGACTCCAGGAGAAAACCAAAAGGGAAATTGTCCCCCCATCCCTTTGCAATACCAGGGCAGCTTCTCTCTGCTCTTCCATTTCTAAATCATGACACATGGACACGTATGAAAAAAAGGGAGAGAGGGGGAAAAGAACAACAAAGAGCAAGGCAGCAGAGCTGTAAAATCCCGTGTGGAGATTCCAGCACTGGAAGGTGCAGCACTGCTCTCCTGCAGAGCATCCCACAGCTCAAGGGAATACTTGGCCCATGGGGACACATTCCTCTGCCAGCACCCAGCCAAGGTAGCTCCACGCACAGATTTCCCTACAAGGGCAGGCCAGGGCCGCAGGCACTGGCTCCCAGCTCTGCCCTGCCAGGGAGGGATGCCTGCCTCCTCTGCAGGAACACGGGCAGCTGCAGCAGCTCCTGTGCTCCTGGGGGAGTCTGGGGGGTTCCCTCATAGCCAGGTGCATGGGGGAAATGGAGGGTGAACAGCCCCTTTTTGCTGTATGTGCAGAGTTTTTTTATGATGGGACATGGAGATTTCGGTCCCTGTAAATTTTGGGCTGTCTCAGGTGCAGAGTTCCACGTGCACCTGGCAGGGAGTGTGATGCACCTGTCACTGCACTGCCACCTCTGCCAGGCACTCTCCTCTGGGAGGATGCTGAAGCCTAAAGCTGATGCCACCTTTGCAGAGAAGTGGCCAAAGCTCCCTTTTTTGTGATGCTCACCCAACCTCACCTGCACATCAGCTGCAGTGGTAGGAAACTGCAGGGCACTGTGCTGCCCGTGGGACAGGAAACAGGGACCCAGTGGGGACAGGAACAGGGTGGGGTGGCCACCACCTTGTGCCTCCTGCAAAATGACCCCGGGGGCTGCTGTCCTCACTGGGCACAAGGACAAACAGCTGCTTAAATGCTAATCTGCCTCAAAAGACACCAAGTCAATTCCTGTGCATCCAAACTCCTCATTTTCAGCAGCCCTGCTGCTGTCAGGACAGGCATGTAGAAAACACCTGCTTTGCGATTTTGCCCCTGCTTTTTCCACAGCACAGTGAGAAATGGTGATGTTCAGCACCCAGACAGGACGTGATGCTGAACGTGCTGAGAACAACCACAGCAGCAACTCCAACACCTGTGAGGGGTTTGCTCTGAGATGGTGAACATGAGCAGGTCCAGGGACAGTGCAGCAGGGTGGCCTCAGCAGTGGGCTGGTGGTGCACAGAGGAACATGAGCACTGGGATTATCTCAGTGTCCTCCCTAGATTTGGTGCTTCTCGAGAACCACCCAGAAAAGAGACAAAGAGACTTCTGCAAGGCCTTGGCACAGATGCCTGGAAACCTTCCCCCTGCATGCCACAGGATTCAGAGAAAACAAACACTTGAAATGCATAGAGCATGGAGAAAATTAAAGATACTACAGCAAGAGATCCCTGCTGGGGGTGGTAAGCCCTTGTGAGCCTGCCAGTGTGTGACAGACCCCTGAGAACATCTCCATGTTCCTGACCAGAACATCTGCAGCTCACACAAAGCCAACCTCAGCCATGCACATTCTCTCACATTCACATCACTGCCCAAAACTGAGACAGAAGAAACCTCAGAGGAGCCAGAGAGGAATGAAGGCAGCCAGATATGCAAAGCATGTGAGATGAAAGGCTGGATGTAAGCAGAGTGATGGGGAGAGGAATGTAAAGCACTGAGACCACAGTGAGAACTGAAGAGTCTCAGCTTTCTGCCACTTCAAGGACAAGGAAAATCCAGTGTAATGGAAATACAACTTACCTAAATCTCATTAAAGGAGAAACTTTTCCATGCAAAACCTGTATCAGCAGAACTCACAGCTATACATTTGCACTCCTCAGCTGAACACCCTTGGCCATCCCTTGGAAGGTCCCATGCTGGAGACCATCCCCAAGCACTGCCTTGCAAAGACCAAGTGCTAGCCTGGCCCCTGGCCAAAACTGCCATCAAACAGCTACTTCACAGCCTTGTTAGGCCTTACTTTGAAGCAAATCACAGAGACCACTGTGGGAAAGGAGATCCTGTCTGGGTAGAGCCCCTTGGCTCTATTATTGTATCTCTGTTCTCTATCTAAGCCATGTTCACCCAGACACATTCCAAGCAGATCCCCCACATGAGCAAGACTCTGTACAGGGATACAGCACTCAGGGATGAGACATGTAAGGAAGCCAACCCTTGCTCTGGAGTCTTGCAGGTATTCAACTCGTGCTCTCCACTCCACTTGGGTCTTACTGTCCTGAGAATGCCTGGTAAAAAAAATCACAAGACCACATATAAAAGTGGCTTTTGGAGGTTTTTTTCCTTTGCTTTTGAAAGGCCAAAGGAATCAGGGAGATGAAAGTTTCAATTACTTCTTTCAAGTCTGATGATTTAAGCGTGGTGATTTTGCCTCACAGCCATGATAGAAGAGCTGCATGGGAAACCCTGGATCCACAAGACAGAGCAACCCATGAGCATCAGCAGCATCGTGACTGTGCAGGTGAGGGAAGCTCAGAGGATCTGAAACATTGGGAGTGCCATGGGAGGAGAAAATGATCTGCTGTGATGGCACTTGAGAGGACTGTGTGCCTACCAGAGACCTCGCTGTGCTTGGAGCTATGCAGGCAGAGCCAAAGAAAAGCCCTTCCTCCAACAGTGCTGAGATTTTATAGGGAAATACAAAGTGTGGGAGAAAGACAGACTCAGCCCCAGACCACAGGTGGTGAAGTGAAGACGAGGGCATGCATGGGATGCAACATTAAGCCGCTCTCCTACACCCCAGCCCAGTGCTGTGCTGTAGAATTGTTGCTACAGGCTCGTAATCGTGGGATAAAACAGACCTGGGTGTCTGATGAGAGATGAAACAATTCAGTAAAAACAAGATAGAAACAATTTCTAGCTGGTTTGTAAAAACAGGGGCCCTGCACCTGTTTCTCTGAGCAATTGCTGACATGAGCATCACCTGCACACCAGGACACATTGATGGGGAGGAGACCTGACTGTGATCATTTCCTGCCTGCAATACTTTCCCATCCCAAATTTCCAGGTACTTGCAAAGCTCTGCTCCATGAGAAACCAAACACAGCTGTTACAATGCCCTAAAGCCCTCCTTGACAGGGCTGACCAGACCTGCCTTCAGCCCAGAAAAGCAACAGTGGCTTTGCACCGATTTTTCGGGCTGTTATTACAGGGTGAAGGAAAAAAGAAGGGTTTGCTATGACACAGGTTGCCTAAGGGGTGAAAAGATGGTTTGAGCAAGGTGATGGTGTGGAAGGACATCCAGTCCTCACATTCAGATTGTCCATCTGCCCCCAGAGCTTCCCTGAGCAAGGACAGAGCCTTTCCTGCCCTTCTTCTCCCTGCTACCACTGTCAGGGCAAGCTCACCCCAAAAAATGAATAAATCCTGTTTTCTGGACAGGGGCCACCCCTGTGGCAGGCACAGCCCTGCTCAGCAGCCCTGGGCCTGCAGCCACTGCTGGGAAAACCCATGGGATTAATTCTGAGATATCCCCCACAGCAACTTCTTTTGCAAGACATGAAAGAAAAGATGATATCATCTCTTTGGAGGGCTGCCCAAAGACATGCTGTGATTTACAGCATGGAGCCCAGGAGCACAGGGGAACTGCTGCTCCAGTGTCACAGGAGCTGCTTCTTCTCTGGTCGTGCCAAGGGCTGCATCCTGAGAGATGCTGGCCAAGGGCAACCCATTAAAACCACTTTATAAGGTGTTCAGCTCTCAATTGATCTTAGCATAGCCTGTTCCAAATCAGTGTTTGATTTGTTTAGCTTCATAAGCAAAGGGATTCTTCCTGGAGGTTCGAGAGGAGTTGAATTAATAACCTGTGGCAGATTTATCTAATGCTCCAACTCCAAAGGAAGCATTTCAAGCAGATGGAATTACCAACTGCCCTGCCAGGCGTGGCACCAGGAAGGAAGGGGGTAGGAGAAAAAGCTCCTTTGCAGAGCAAAGGTGGGTGAACATGCAGGTGCAGACATCACAGGAGCAGAGGAGGCGAGTGAGGGGGTCCACAAAGCCACCAGAACCCCAAGCAAAGTGCTCCAAAAATGGAGCCACCCTAAGCCAGGGTGGTACAGACCATGCTCACCATCCAGGTGGTTGCGGGAAAGGTACTTGAGTCCTTCATCCAGCAGGATCACGGGCAGGGAGATCTTCATCACAACCACCCACTGTGGCCAGCTCAGGGGGGTCACCTGGAAGATGAGCTGCAGGGTGGAAAGGATTGCACATGTTAGTAGGGAAAGCAGGTGGGATATTTTGATGTTTTAAGGATCACATTGCTGTATGGCAAAGGTGGAGAGAGGCTCATTCCAGGTATAAAGAGGGAGGATCCAGACAGCCCAAACAGGAGGATTCCTTCAAGGTCTGTCATGATCCAAGGTGGCTCTTGGCCAAGATGAGTAAAAAAATCTGTTCTTCACCTCTCCTGCAAATGGGGAAAGTGAGGCACAAGGTAGGACTGTGTGCTTATGTGCTCACACGTATTTAGCAGGTGACAAGGGACAATGTAACCTCCTGGGTACAGAAACACACTTCATCTTAAGCACCTGTGGGCATCAACCAAGGCATTCCCAACCTTGCAAAGGAAGGAGACAACTCCTAAAGAGCCAAAGCACCTTCTGGAGATATCTAGAGCCTTTGCATTGCCCATAGGGAGAGCTTCTGTCTCCTGGCTCATGGGGCAGAATGACTCCTATCCTCCATACTTGGTTGAGTCATGGGACCTGGTCCTGAGGACAACTGCTGGGAACAACCATCCCAGAGGTTTCCTGACCCAAAGATTGCTCCAGGGATGTCCTTGTCCACAGAAGGCACAGAGAGGTGACAGAGGGCACTCACAGGCATGGGCTTGACATAGAGGATGAGGAAGTGCAGAGCCATGGACATGATGATGGCCCCCAGCAGCCAGATGTTGAGCCACGGTGGCATCCGCAGCAGGGACTGGTTCTCAGAGACACTGTGAAAGTGAGGGGACAACGTTAGCCCCAGAAACCTCCCTGCATCTGTCCATGCTGGGAATTTCATTTCCCTCCAACATGCAAGGCCACCATATACTATATCTTTTCTTTTCCAGGCTGCTCATTTCAGGCTTTACTGCAAACTGGATGTGGATGTCCAATACAACCAGCAATACATGGATTAGGGCTGATCCTTAATGACCAAATCATTAATGAATGCAGATCCAGTCCCTCCTTCACTGCTCTCAGCCACAGCACACTGCCTTGGAGGAGTTTATCCATGGAAAACCCAGTGATCCCCTGTGAGGATGCTCTGAACGGCTCTGCTGAGCCAAAGCAAAGCCCTCAGCCCACCCACAGACACTCAAAGAGACCCTGCACAAAATCAGCCATGCACAGAGCAAAGAGAGCAGCCCTGTGGCCACCACACCTGTTGAGAGCATTGCACATTTCGATTGTCACCAGCACAGACAGAGCCATCGTCGTGGGGTATCGCGACTCGAAGATCTCACAGTCAATTCCTTCGAAGATGGGGTTGTCCTCAGTACACCTCATGAAGTTCCTCTGTCAGCACAGGAAACTGCTGGTAAATACATGGCAGAGCAGCAGGAAAGGCAGGAGAGAGGAGGAAGAGTCGACTGGTTGGGGGGCATGTGATGAACTGGGTTGCTGTTAAATATTCCACAGTTTAGAGCAACCAATAAACTGCCCACAAGGATCCAGCTTCTCTTGGGGTTGGGCCTTAGGGATATGGCTGGACAGTGGCTTTGAGGCTCTCAGATGCAGTTAGGAAGGAGTTTGAGCACACACATCTCCATCAGAAATCCATCGTGCATTGCACATGCCATTGGGATGTGATAGTTACTGCTTTCCCCCTACCCTGCAGTTTTCACATTAGCTACACTACTGTAACCTGAGAACAGATCCCTTCCAATATGGGATGAGGCACAGAAGCTGCTTTCAGCTTCTCTGAATCTTTCTGAATCTGAAACTTTCACTAACATGTAGGTGGCTGGCAGAAGCAAGGATGGAAACAGCCTGAGAGAGAGAATTCGCTTCTGTTTTAAATTACTGTCTTCTCCACTTGGAATTTGGGAATGCTACAACCAACACAGAGGAAAGGTAGATGAAAGTCCCCAACACATGAATGCACCCTCACCCATCTGCTCCAGCTGCCAGCCTGCTCCTGACTCACCAGCTGATGGAAGGAGACCTGCGGTCCCTCGGCGTCGTACAGGAACCACCAGGTCGCTGCGCCCACGGTGGCCAGGCCCACGTACACTGTGAGAGAAAGAGAGAGAAAAACCCTTACCCCAGCAGCCAGAGAGGGTCCTGCCCCAGGACACCCCGGGCACATCCCAGCAGAGCCCACTGCCCCAGCAGCACCCACCTCCAACAGCCAGGTAGCGGAATAAGAGCCAGCCACTGATGAGGGGCTCCTTGGGGTTGCGGGGCTGCTTGTCCATGATGTCCAGGTCGGGGGGGTTGAAGCCCAGCGCGGTGGCCGGCAGCCCATCGGTCACCAGGTTCACCCACAGCAGCTGCACAGGGATTAGAGCCTCGGGCAAGCCCAGGATGGCTGTCAGGAAGATACTGCAGGGAAAAAAACCAGGAGATACAAAATTAAACAAACTCTGTGAGCCAAGGTTCTGTGTCATGGAAGAGGGAGAGAGCATCTGGATCCAAAGCCCCAAACTGAATATTCAGCCAAAGTCCTGCAGATGAACCCACAGCCCCTAATAAGGAACCTGAACCCCAGCACTGAATTTTGCAGCTGAAATTTGTTTCTGTTGCTATTAAAATTTGTTTTTCAGTTGTAACCCAACTGTTGATGTCCCCATGGCCACAAAAGTTCCCATTCCCAGCATAAACACTCATGCTGAAATACAAGGGTAAAGGTAGCCCAAAAGATCCCAAAGTTGTGCTGATGTTGCTGAGGACTGAGAAGGATGGGCAGGGGCAGGGATAGCTGTGACTGGGTGACAACAGCCTGTGCACAAATATCTGCAACCAGATCAGGCACTTGTATGGGTTTAAATAGGCAACACTTTGACAAAACAGTCAACAGTTTGTACCAGGTCCTGCAGGGTGGCAGGATTGCAAAACAAAAAAAAACAAAAACAAAAACAAAAAACAAAAAACAAAAAACAACAACAACAAAAAAATTCTCCCTGCCCTTGAGGACTGAGACATGGTGCCTGGGATTACCAGTACGGGCACTACATGCTGCTGACTGCAGGTCACCTGTCCCAGGGGATGTGTCCCCCCACTGCTGCTCCTGCAGCATGGTTTGGTGTGGGAGGCTCTCACCAAACGACCTCCCCGACGTTGGAGGAGATGAGATAGCGGATGAACTGCTTCATGTTGTTGTAGATGGCTCTGCCCTCCTCCACGGCCGACACGATGGTGGAGAAGTTGTCATCAGAGAGCACCATCTCAGCAGCTGACTTGGCAACAGCCGTGCCCGACCCCATGGCGATGCCGATCTCTGCCTTCTTCAGCGCCGGAGCGTCATTGACACCGTCACCTGTCTGCACAAAGCCGTGCTTCAGTGTGAAGGGATGGAGCAGGGCGGGGAGGAGGGCACAGCAGGGCGGGGAGGAGGGCACAGCGGGGTGACAGATGTCCCCAGGGCTCACCATGGCCGTGATCTCATTGAAGGACTGCAGGTACTCGACGATGCGGGACTTGTGCGCCGGCTCGACGCGGGCGAAGCAGCGAGCGTCCCGGCACGCCTGGCGCTGCTCCTCGGGGGACAGCTCATCGAACTCCCGGCCCGTGTAGGCCTTGCCAGACACGTCCTCGCTCTCTGAGAAGATGCCGATGCGGCGGCAGATGGCCACGGCCGTGCCCTTGTTGTCACCCGTGATCATGATGACGCGGATGCCGGCCTTGCGGCACATCTCGATGGAGGACGTGACCTCTTTGCGGGGAGGGTCCAGCATCCCCACACAGCCCACAAAGGTCAGGTTGTTCTGGGTGGGAGGAACATATCCCAGACCCACATTAACCCCTTGGGATGCATCCACTTCCCTCCTGCTGTGAAACCAGCCTGGCCTTCACAGGGATTTCCCATGGGAAGAAGCTTTCAAGAGGTTTCCACCAACCCCCCCATGGATGCACTCTACAGCCCCAATCCAACGGGACACTCCCATCCCCTCTGCTCTTCCTCACACGTTTTCTCTTTGCTCCCCTCCTCCCCATCCCTCACAATGGTCTCCAAGGCCCTCTCAGCAGTCACTCCACAGGAAAACACGCTCAGTGAGAAGGGACTTGTTATCCTTCAGCCATTACACTGCCCACAGAGAAACCACAGGGAAAACATGCTGGGCCAGCTGGGAGGATACGGGAACACTTCGGGAATAAGGAGGAAAGCTCCTGTCCAAGCTGCAGTCCGTACCTCGTAGTGGACGAAGGCGGCCGAGTCGTGCAGCTGCATGGTGTCCCTGCGGGCAGGCGAGTCGTGGGTGGCCAGGGCCAGGCAGCGCAGGGTGTCAATGCCCATGCCCCAGTCCCGGATCCTGCCCAGGATCTTGTCCCTCACCGGGGCTGTCAGTGGCACCTTGGCAGTGCCCACACGGACGTGGGTGCAGCGCTCGATGACGCTTTCCGGGGCACCCTGCGGAGGAGAGCAGAGCTCAGGGGCTGCAGCGCAGCCGGAGGATGCTCCTGCACCACACACAGCGCCAGAGGGCGGGAAGGTGCCAAGCTTGGGCAAAGGCAGAGGAAATCTTCTCCAAATTCCAGCACACATGCCGGCCCTGTGGCTCGGGGCACTAGATGGCAGCCTCTGACCGAGCACAGCCCGGAGCACCAACCCGCACCAGGTCAGCAAGAGCAGCATCTGCTGCACAGCCAGCTGACTCCTGCAAAACCTACACCGAGATACTCCTGCCCCACACAGCCCTGCTCCGACCTGCAGGGAATGAGGGCTGTAAATCTGTGCAGGAAAAAATGTGGGATACTCAGTGGATGCTTGTGATGCCTTTGCAATTCAGGAAAACATGTCCCTTAGCATCCCAGCCTCTCACCCCAGCCCTTCTGACCTTACAAAGAACCCTGACATTACTCTTTTATATAAAGCTTGCAATCCTTCTATTGCACCTCTTAAAAAGCTCACCCAGGGCCACAGATCCAGAGGCTTCAGAGGGTCCCAGCCTGACCTGGAGGGCAGAGTTCACCTACCCAGATAATGTCCCAGTGGGAACAACAATATCCAAATCTTCTCAGAGTCAGCGGGGAGAAATTCCACCGCATCTCTTCTCTTCTTGGGAAGAAAATGCCCTATGAAACACTATTTTATTTCTGGTTACAGTGGAAAACTGGACATCATCCTTTGGGCATTACTGGCATCTGGAGGGTCCAAGCCTTTAATAGAGGCAAGTGCCCAAATTTTGCACGAGGGCAGCTCTCCCCTGCCCCAGCATCAGCACACTCGGCACCTTTTCCTCCCTCTAAATCATCTCCCCCCCTTTTTTCCCTAATCAACATGACAAAGCCTCACTTCCTCCCTGATCCCACCAGCCTACCTGGATCCCAAATTTGCCCTAAACCAGGACACCCAGGCAGGTAGAGTGAGAGAGGAACTGCAGAGCATCATCACTGCCCTGTGCAGCACAGCCAAACGCTGCTGGGTGTGCAGGGGGTGTGGAGCCTGCAGGTGCTCTGTCCCTACCTTGACAAACATCTTGCTGCCAGCAGAGTTGTTGCCAGCCCCGGTGGGAGTGCAGTACACAGACATGGACTTGCGGTCCCGGGAGAACTCGAGGGTGCATTCCTTCCTCATCAGCTGCTTGATCACCTGCAGGAACAGCACTGGGCTGAGCCAGGACATGCCAGGGACACTCGTGCTCTCTGCCTTGCCTGGCAACCCTGCTGAGTCCTGGGATGGGAGGAGAAAGGCAGCCACAGGAGCCAGGGAGCACGGGACAGGGCTAAAAGCTTACAAGCTTTCCATATGCAAAAGGAGTCAGGAGATTAATTACAACCTGCACAGACCTATCCAGGGAACAAATGCTGGAACAGAGAGCCCTTTGAGCAAGTAAAGACATTTTAAGATCTAAAGTGGAGGAAATACAGACCCAAAATAAAGTGTATTTTCACCCAGGAGGACAGGGAGACGCTGGAGTAGGGGAATAGCCAGCATAAGATATTTTCATGTCAAAAATAGATGTTTCCAAGGAGTAAGTGTCACTGGGGCAGGCAGAGCTCTGGGGAATAGGGTTTGGTTCATGCTGGAGGGGGGCTGCTCAGTGCAAACTGGGCACCTAAAGATAACTCCAAACTTCCTCATCTGCAGCCAGAGCTTGGGCTATCACTCAGAGGGTCTCTCCTGACTGAGCAGGGACTGGACTGAGTTGGAGCCTCAGGAATCACCTGCTCCAAAGCCCCATGTAGGTTGGTCCTCAAGGACCATTGTTCCAAAAAGAGCTCACCATGAGAGCCTGGAAATCACATCCTTGTGCCAAATGAGTCCCTTAGATCACTTCAAGTGTTTATTGCCCAAATATCAGACATCCTAAACCCCTCCTCTCCCTCCCATCCCCCAGTGCTGCAGCCCACAGGGGCTTCTCCCCACTCACTGAATTGCAGGCATTGGCTCTCTCCACCTTGGAGAGTTTGCTGAGATCTGTGTTGAAAACGTTCATCTTCTCCACCAGGCACGTCAGGGCTGTTTCAGTGGCTTCCCCCACCTTCTCATAGACTTTTTTGGACTAGAGGGCAGAACAAAAGAGCTTAAGCTTTAGATCACATCCTGGATGTGCTGCAGCCACCCAGGATGTTGTCACCCACCACACCAGAGCATCCCCTTGGGATGAGCTGAAGCCAGGGAAGGGGATCCCAAGGGACAAACTCTACTGGCTTTGCTCTGAAGCACAGCAAGAGCATCCTCCCCATCCCACCCTGGCCCTGGTGCCCCCACACCTCATTGTAGTCCAGCGAGGAGTCATTGCAGAGGGCACAGATGGTGGCCAGCTCCACCAGCCCGTCGTACTGCCCGCACTGCACCGGCTGCTCGTCCTTCAGGCTGCGGCACAAAAAACAACCCCAACACCAGCTCACACCTCCAATACAGCTAGCTCAGCCTAAAGATCCCTTCTAGGGGCATGTATAGCCTATGTAGCACTCTTGTAAAAGTGGAAGCAAAAGCAAAAGCCCAGTTAAAGCACCAGTGCTGGCAATTGTACTTTATTAAATGGGGCAGGACTAAATTGCAAATAAAATATCACAGGAGGAAAATAAATTCTGGAAGTGGCCCAGAATAAGGGGGGCTGCAGAGAAGTTCAAAAGAGCAAGCAAGGGCTGCTTCCAGGCTGCTGATGATGAAGGTGATGGACCAGAAAAGGGGCAAAGAAATTCATGTTAACATCCACCTCCTCAGGGGTTTCCATTTGCTTGGAATCCAGAGGAGATGTGGAACCAACAGCAAGTCCCTTCTCCTCCCTGTGATGCTGTTTCACACTCCATAGGGAACCCAAGGGAGCATTTAGGAGCAGCAGAGAGCTTTAACAGCTGCACTGCTGTGACTGCTTCCAAGCAAGTGGTGAACTGTGATCTTTGCTTCCTAAATAGCAGTGGAAAGGAGAAGCCCTGAGCACTCCAGGCAAGCCAGATGCTTCTCCTCGCCTGGTGGCAGGAATGGTAGCAGTGGTTTTGAAGGAAATAAAAAATTATCCTGGTTCCAGCAGAGGTAACTGCAGGTTAGAGCTGTATAAACCCAGCCGGTCATCTGCTGGCTGGAAAAATAATTTGTCAGGCATTTACTAGGATCAGCTTATTCCACTGTTGGTTCCCAATGGAAAGAACATTTTGGAGCCCTTGTTACAGCTCGGGAGCGGAAAACACGGAGCAGCCAAGAAAATCTGAAAAATCTGTTTGCTGAGGGAGATGAAGCCACACTGGGCTGTGAGTGGGAAGGGAGATCCACTGCTCCTGCCCAGACATGCTGGCCCTGGGCTCACAGGAAGGGAGGAGGGAGCTGTGGACACACCAAGCATGGCTTTTGCAGCATGTGATCCCCCGGATATTGGTGGGAAGGGATGGCAGGTTACAGCCCCATCTCAGCAGTCCCTGCATGGACCAGGTGAGAGCCATGTGCTGGGAGAAACATGAACAAACCCAGGGTCCAGCATGAAATATCCCCCTGCCAAGGCCAGGTTAAAGCAAACAAGCATTTCAGTCCCACCAGCCCTGGGGTAAGGGGAGTTCTCTCTGTGACACCTCAGCAAACCCACACATCCCTCTCAATATCCAGTACAGGCACAGGGCTCAAGCAAAACTCAACACAAATTGTGGCAGACCAACACAGTGGCCCTAAAAGCAGTCCCCAGAGGATAGGGGACTCTGAGCTTCAGAGGTTGGCAGGCACAAGTTCAGCCCCCCTGTCCTCCTCAATTTTAACTGAAATGCACTGATTGATACCAGCTTATGACTTGGCTCAGTTTTTAATGGAGATTCCTAGCCAAGGATCAAATTGGCTCCATAAATATTCATGAAATTAAGTCTGTGGGTGAGATGAATTACAGCTGCTCCATGGATGAGCAGAAGGGACCTTGGTGACAAATGTGTCTGGGATCACTGAGCAAAGCAAAGGGGAGCAGAGAGTGCTTCCACCACCAGCTGAGCCCCTCATCTGCCTTCTTCCCAGACTTTGCCACACTCAGGGCCACCACCTTCTTGCAAAGGATCAGGAATATATAAATACAGCAGCAGAAAACCCCAGGAAAAAGCCCCCAGCTTCCACTCCCTGTGCTGGGCTGCAGCTCTGCAAAGCCCACGTCTGCCCTGAGACACACTCTGCCATGAGCAGGATCATGCCCTGGGCACAGCAGCCACGGGAGCCATCCCTGCTGTGGACACAGGGCTCGAGGAGCACTTTCCTTGTGGGGTTTCAGCTGTTTGCCAGGTCCCTTGGCCATTGCTGGTGGCTCCTAGACAAGCTGCCCACTCTGCATTCTGCTCGGGGCAGGGGCAGCAGTCACCAGTCAATACCCAAACTGCAGGCTCCAGGAATATGGAGAGTCATCACCTACTGCAAAAAGCCCTGCTCATCACCTTTCCTACATTTGTCATCTTCTCTGGTTCACAGGTGAGCTTGTTTTATTGGGATTGCTGACAAAGGGAGAGCCAAGTGTGTGGAAGCCCCTTTTTGCTGAGCAGTGGGAAGGCAGAGCCAGGCTGAGAACCACCCAAATCCTGGGGCAGGAGGTGGATGTGAGGGACTGAAACAACTGCCCTGGTCCCCATGAACAGCACAGCACAGCACAGTCACCCACCACTGCAAGCCCAGTGTGGCCAAAAGACAGTGCCCAGCAGGTATCCCCATGGCAGGACTGCAAACCACCACAGAAAACCCTCCTTTCTCATGGGCACCCCTACCCATGGCCATGAACCCCCCCCTCCCATCTTCCCCAGCCCAGGCCACCCTGTGTCCCTGCAGAGGGGACCCTCACTCACATCTGTCCCTCGGGGGCATAGGTGGAGCCAGTGATGCTGAACTCGTGCAGGCTGCACTGAGTGTCCTCCACCTTCTCCATGATGAACATCTGCCAGGAGGAGAGGTGGAAACACAGCATTAGGCAGCAGATTTTTGGTCCAACCCTCGTGCCCAGCCTGGACACCCACCAGCTGGTACTGTCCCAGCCACAGCCCTGGCACCAGGCTCAGGCCCATCCCTGGTCAGCCACTGCTCCTGGCTGTCCCCAAATCCTCCCAGCTCTCCTCTGCCCTTCTCATGTTTGCCTCCTCCAGCTCTTTCCTTCCCTGGGACAGGAGAGAAGCCCAGCCTGCTCCTAAGAAGGTGCCTGTGTTTTTCTTGGAGCAGAGAAGGAGCTGGGTCAAGGTTTCCACTCCTGCCCTGGGAAGCCTCTGCAGGGCAGGATCTGAGCAGCTGCCCCTGCCACCCCTTGCCAGCCACCAGCCTTGTGCCTTACTGGGATCACAGCTCAGCTCACTAATAAAACCTCAGTGAGCCACAGAAGTCCCCCACATTCTATTTTAGTGATTTTTGCCTTTCAAAATACTTCTCGTTTCTCTTTTGCTGCTATAATGAGACAAATCCCTCAAAGTCTGAAATAAAATTAAAATTCCCCTCTTCCCAGGCTCTGCCATTTCCCCCATGATCCCTCTCAGCACAGCCCACCTTTGAGGGCAGCATCCCTGGGAACAAGAGCAGGGCCTGGCCCCAGCCAAGGACACAGTTCAGAAATCTCATTTCTGCTTCTTGTTATTTATGACCCACACTGAAGCCAAAAAGCAACATAATAAACAAGAAAGTAAGTAAATAAATAAATAAAACTGTTTTGGCAAATGCATTTCCCTTGCTGCAGGGAGAAGCCAGGATTTAATTTGGCTGCAGAGAAGTGCTGCTCTCCTCAGCTCCACGAACTTGCTGAGTGCCCCCAGAAAGCAGGTGCAGGGAAAACTGTCCCACTCCAACCTGTCTCAAAATAATTGTTTTTTCTCTGTTTATTTTCTTCTGGTTATTTGAGTTGCTCCCCAGGAGAGGGAAGCAACAGACGCTGGAGAAATCAGCAGGCATCACTCAGCACCAGAGATGCAACAGCTCTGGTTACCACCCACTTCTCTGCCTTCCACGTTTCCTCTGGCAACAAACAGAGGTTAATTTGCTATTATTATTAATTATTGCTAATAATATAAGAACATCTCGTCAGTGCAGCCTCCCCCACACAGGAGGTGTCCCCAGGTACGAGCTGAGGGCCAAGGCAAGCAATGAAGGGCATGTTCAGGGGAGCACATTCCCAGCATGTTCAGCACCAGGACACCCCAGGGGGTTTCCTCACCTCCCTATTTTGCAGGTTTAGGCAAATCAAAGGAGCAGGTTCAAAGCATTCATCTCCTGTGTGAGTAATTCTGAGCCCAAAACAACCTCGCCATGGCTCCCCAGCTATTTGCAGATATCCTGTTTATTGGGCTAATGCCCTTAGCTCCTCTCCCAGGGCCCATCAGCGCCCCTGAAAGGTTTTGAAGAAAATAAGGAGCTGAAAGGCTGCAGAAGAGGTGCCCCAGGTCCTCTGGAGGCACTGGGATCCTCTGGCAGTAGGTGTAAACTCAATAAAATAAAGAAAGCAAAACCACATCCTATTTCCTTTGGTAACAACCCCCCCGAGATGACAGAACCAGAACCTGCAGTGAGGCCCCCAGTCTGAGACAACATCAAAAGGAACCTTTGAAGCCTAAGCACCCATCATCTTTTTTTGAGACATCCAATGCCATTAGCCTTCCAGAGAGCCAAAATCTCCTGGCCTCTTCAGAAAATGGGCTCCTGAAACAACAACCAGACTCATTTATTAGAAAAGCTGAAAGCACCCACCCCAGCCACTGATGGGTTTGCCTGATATGGGCTTGTTTGTTTTCAAATGCTCATGGCTACAAAACAATGATTACTTTCACAATAGCGTCTTTCTTATTAAAAAAGGGAAAAGGGAAATAAAAAAAAAAAAGCATTCCAAGCTCTCTTATTTTTCCATGCCTTTTAAAAAAAAGGTGCTACATAACCCACAGCAACCAGAGGTTATATCAAATTTCCTGCTGCTCCCAGCTTGTGTGCCTGGCTGAGCATGGGGGCAGCCAGGGCCCTGCAGAGGTGTTTGCAGGGTTTTGGTGTGATCAGAATATCAGAGAACAGTTTGGGTTGGAAGGGACCTTAAAGCCCATCTCATCCCACTCCCTTCCATGGCCAAGGACAGATTCCACTGTCCCAGGTTGTTCCAATGCCTGTCCAGCCTGGCTTTGGACACTTTCGGGGATCCAGGGGCAGCCACAGCTGCTCTGGGCACCCTGTGCCAGGGCCTGCCCACCCTCCCAGGGAACAATTCCTTCCTCAAATCTGATCTAAATCTCCCCTCCTTCATCTTAAAGCCATTCCCCTTGTTCTGTTGCTCCAGGCCCTTGTCCAAAGTCCCTCTCCAGCTCTCTTGGAGCTGCTTTAGGCACTGGATGAGGCTCCAAGCTCTTCCTGGAGCCTTCTCTTCCCCAGGCTGAAGAGCCCAGCTCTCTCAGGCTGTCGGTGTTTTGGCAGATTTCCAGACTGAGAAGTGGGCAGGTTTGTGGGCAGTGGAAACAGTCCAGAGGAAATAGCTGTGTCTTAAGCAGTTAAGAGCAGAACTAAAGTTTCCATCACAAAAATAATATAAATTATATTAGGAGCAATAGAAGGAAGTGGGAATGCTGCAGCTCAGCTGGGAGCTGCTGACAAGCCAGGCTCACAGAGGGGCTGCCCAACCTCTTGTACTGCACAGTGAACAGCAGCTCCAGCATCCAGCAGCATCCCAGGGCTTCTCCCTGCCCTGAACCTTTTAAAGTCACGACAGTGAATTGGGGTTTTAATGCAACAGAGAGGCTGGAAGAAAAATGTAACTACATTCTCACAAAGAGTGCACCCTTCTCCCAAAGTGCTCCAGCATCACTTTTACTCTCCTGTCCCATGGATCCTGCCCAGCCCCAGTGCTGTATCACACAGCTGGATGCTGCTCTGTGTGTTTGCAGAAAGCAAAGGGCACTCGTGGATCACCACACACCCCACACCATCCCTGGAGCAGCAGCTGTGGGCTTGTGGGGAAGGCAGGTGTGAAGGATTGATCTCCACTACTCTGTATGTTCTGTAGTGTCTTTAAAAGAATTACTCACTGAGAGGCAGACAAGGCAGGAGCTCTGTCTGGAGCTCTAAGAGCTGTAATCATCAGTCACTATTCCATCAATCAACCCATGGATCAGCATCATTTTCCTCCTGCACTGGAAGCAGCTCCAGCCAACAGGCACCCACTGGCAACTGGCACAGTCCCTGGGGACCCCCAGCCAGGTCTCCCCGTAATTATTGACAGGTTTGGACAGAGAGCAGTGCTGAGCCAAGGCACAGTGCCCTGGAGACTGCAAAGCAAACAGTGCCTGCACAGCTCCTGGGCAGCTGCACCAGGGATGGGAGTTTGCACATCCAGGCTCTGCTACAAGCTTTGTGGAAAATAAACCCCTTTCTGCCCTTGTTCCCCAAAACACCAGCAACCATCTCAGAGACAGCCAAACATCACAAAACACCTCCTCCCAGACATGGGGGGCCAGCATCTTTCCCCCCCAACCCCCTGAGCTCACATCTCCACTTTGGGTCCTGATTTTCAAATGCCACCTTCCTGGAAAATTAAGTCGGATGCATAAAAGGGTGCTGCAAGTTTTAGGAGAATGATTTAAAGATGTGAGAGCAGAGAGAGCTGTGATGCTCCTATGTCCCTTCTCAGCCTGCCAGGTTCCCCCTGCTCCATGGTTATTTAATGGCTGGGAGAAGGATGTTCCTGGCTCCTCCATGCCCTGGGCTGGGGGACATGGTGACCTCAGAGACCCCCAGTTGGCCACACAGTGACACAAACCACAGGTTTACTCTGACTTACTGAGTGGGTTTGTGGCTTTCTAACTGCAAACTTGGATGGACTTGAGGTCAGAGCAAAAGCACCAAAGTCTGAGCCACCCTGGGTGGACAAAGCACGAAGCACCTCATTTTGGGTGGCTCATTTTGGGGGGCTTTGGGGGGCACAGATCCAGCCCTGCTGCCCACCTGGGGCCCGCGTGTGTCCTGCTGAGCTGGCTCAAACAGCACCCAGCACTGGGAGGGACCCAGAGACATGGCACAGCTCTTGAAACCCAGTGAGGGCTTGAAACCACACCTGAAGCCTCTCAAGAGTCACTTCACAGCTGACAGACCCGATGCCAGCAGTGAGACACTGAGCAGGGCCCACTCAGCAGCAAGCCCTGCAGCTGCACTCACCCAATTAATGGGCAAGTTAATGAAACCACACTCAATTAATACATTTTCCCAGGTTATTGACAGGGTATTCTGGCTGTTCACCCCCATGGCTGAGCTCTGTTTGGCACACAGAGTGTCCCGGACATGCCAAGGGCTGCCCAGCACAAATACACAAATATTTACCCACCTGCCCCTCCCAGGGCAGCCCCGTCCTGGCCACGTCAGCAGGGGAATCCCTGTCCATTAAACATTAACAGCCCTGCCTGTGCCTCCCGGGGCCAGCCCTCCTGCCAGCATTGTGCCCTGGCAGCCAGGATCCAGCCAAGTGAATAAACAAATATTGGAATGGGCTTATGGGGAGATGGGCTGGAGGATACTTTGACTTTTTAACTGCTGCTTTTTTTTTTTTTTTGTGCAAAGCTGCTGAGTTCATTCTGCAAACAACAATCGATGTCAAAACCCTTGTATGCCAGTGCCCCACTCTGCCCCTCTCCCTGCTCAGTATCCCCACCCTGACTCTCCTGGCTGTGCCACACTGCAGGGGATGGTGGCACTTCCCTCCAAGCTCAAAGAGCACAGCCTCTGGTAGGAAGTGCTTTGGGAAGGCACAGTCACTCCTCCTTCTCCTCCTGCAGTGGGCAGAGCTCAGGAGACCCCACTGGAGTCTCCCTGTCCTTACTTCACTGCATCCCTGGCTCTGAACACGGGGCTGGTGGGAACCTCCTCCTGTGAGACACGGCCAGCTTGGTCCCTACTTTGCTCCAGCCCTGTCTTGTTGTGTATCACTCACAGGGCAGGAATACCAGACATTTCCATTCATCTGCAGTTTGTGCTGAGCTAACCAGTGGCCAAAGCCCATGGCCAGTTTGCAGCACTGTCCCAGCTTCCCACCACACTATCTGCGTGTCAGAGAGGAGGGATGTTGGCCAGGTCCTTTTTTTCCCACAGCAACACATTTTCCAAGGTTCTCCTATAAAAACAACATGCCAAAGCCATGTAAAAAGCTTTCCTGACACTCATGGATTAATGGGAAAACTGAGAAGTACTCGGATGGTTTTCCAGGCTTTCCTAACAAGTCACCTCTCCACATGGCCAGTCGTGTGGGAGCAAAACTCTCTGGTAGATGAGGAGCCTTCAAACTCTTCACCAAACCACCCCAGGGCTCCCCCCATCAGAAATGCTT